TTTCGCCGCCCACTTTCGCCGCCCACTTTCGCCGCCCACTTTCGGCGCCCACTTTCGCCGCCCACTTTCGGCGCCACTTTCGCCGCCCACTTTCGCCGCCCACTTTCGCCCCACTTTCGCCGCCCACTTTCGCCGCCCACTTTCGCCGCCCACTTTCGCCGCCCACTTTCGGCCGCCCACTTTCGCCGCCCACTTTCGCCGCCCACTTTCGGCGCCCACTTTCGCCGCCCACTTTCGGCGCCCACTTTCGGCCGCCCACTTTCGCCGCCCACTTTCGGCGCCCACTTTCGGCGCCCACTTTCGCCGCCCACTTTCGCCGCCCACACGCCGCCCTTTCGCCGCCGCACTTTCGCCCCCACTTTCGCCGCCCACTTTCGCCGCCCACTTTCGCCGCCCACTTTCGCCGCCCACTTTCGCCGCCCACTTTCGCCGCCCACTTTCGCCGCCCACTTTCGCCGCCCACTTTCGCCGCCCACTTTCGGCGCCCACTTTCGCCGCCCACTTTCGCCGCCCACTTTCGCCGCCCACTTTCGCCCCACTTTCGCCGCCCACTTTCGCCGCCCACTTTCGGCGCCCACTTTCGCCGCCCACTTTCGCCGCCCACTTGCGCCGCCCACTTTCGCCGCCCACTTTCGCCGCCCACTTTCGGCGCCCACTTTCGCCGCCCACTTTCGCCGCCCACTTTCGGCGCTCATTTTCGCCGCCCACTTTCGGCTCGGCGGCGAAAGTGGGCGCCGAACGTGGGCGGCGAAAGTGGGCGGCGAAAGTGGGCGGCGAAAGTGGGCGGCGAAAGTGGACGGCGAAAGTGGGCGCCGAAAGTGGGCAGCGAAAGTGGGGCGCCGAAAAGTGGGCGGCGAAGGTGGGCGCCGAAAGTGGGCGGCGAAAATGGGCGCCGAACGTGGGCGGCGAAAGTCGGCGGCGAAAGTGGGCGGCGAATGTGGGCCTGCTTGTCGTGAATATGTCTCTTCCTTGTCGTGAAGCTGCTTGTCGCGAAACCATCCCGGCCATGTTCGTGGGCTCCGACGCGACATGCTTGACTTTGCGGACCAATGCATTACGCGATATTTTGAGTGCGTCTCCTAGCTGCCTGGAATGCCTGGTTCACGGTGGAAACGGTCATCATCGCCCAAGCCCCGTCTAATCCAGCCTCGATCCCGTGCGCCGGTTGACAGATCCGCAACTAGATCTTGTGCGTCGGTTGAAAAAAAAACCAACAAACGACGCCGCACGCATTGCGCGCGACGATCTCCCACGCGCGGGTACCCCCCGCATCCAGGATACTTCTCCTCGGAACAGAATTGCAGCAACGAGGGCGTCCTCGGCCCTGACGCAGCCAGTGTTCTGATGAAGATCTTATATCTGGCGAGGCGCTGCAGGCTGGACCTCGCGCGCCCAGTTTGCCTGCTCGCACGGGAGATCACAAAAGGGAGCTATGCTTGCGACAAACGCCCACATCGATTGGTCTGTCACCAGAAATCTACGCGCACACGCTGTCTTCACGGATGGATTGGCGACAGATCAGGCCAAGTCTCAATCATGCTCTTCACTGGCGCCTCCTTTGCAGATTGCGTCAACAGCTCGAAGTCGACAACTGGCGTGTTCGTCGCGCTGGTGGGCCCTAACGCATTCTTCCCGCTTCCCGCTCAACACCGCATGCAAGAAACTGGTGTCGCGCTCGTCCACGGAGTCCGAGATCGTGGCTCTTGACACGGCTTTGCGCACAGAAGGCCCACCCCTCTTTTCCTTCAAGGAAGTTGCGGCGCATGGCCTGGCCCGCGGGAACCACGATATCACGTCGTTGGCCGCCGGAGAGACGCGACGCAAAACACCGCCAAGAAGTGCTCCTCCCACGCGTGTTCTTTCCCCAGGTAGCAGGACGTCGGAGCGAGCTACCCCACCATCCCGAACACCATCATCTAACATCATGTGCGATGACATCGTACTTCATGCTCCTCGCCTTCCACCAACCAAGGCACCAACCCCGATGGCGCACCCCATTGTGGCTGAGGATAACGAGGCAGTGGTTGCGAGTGTCCAAGAAGGACGAACGCCAGCACGTACACACCGTATTAATTTGAATTGGATTACAGAGCGTGTCAGAAGGAACATATATTCAATTCAAATATGTGGGTACTGAGGAACAGGATGCTGACATGATGATAAAACATTTCGAGCCTAAGAAAGCCCACCTTTGGCCCGCGAAGACACCGGAGCCCGCCAAAAACGCCAGCCTTGTCGTTCTTTACTCCAATACTGTCTTTTCTGCGTCCGTCATTCACACGCGCGTATGTGTTGCCATGCACGCGCCTTGCCGCAGCGGTTAGCACGACCAAAACTAAACTCGCGCGCCCCTCGACACATCTCTGCGCGACAAAGGCAACGCCGCTCCAGTTCGGCCCAGCATGGCGAAGGCGAACGCTCCGATTGAGTTGCAGGGGATGCAGATCGGAGGCATGTGTCAAGGTGGCGCCGTTGTAAACATCCGCGTGGGTCCCGCGTTTCAGCCCCAGGTTGTCCGCTGCCGTGCTCACGAGGATTCCCCGATGAATTCCCTCCTGAATTTCGAGAAGCGTCCAGATGGGATCGAAGAGTTTACTCTCCGTTCCAGCAAGCAGGGCCTCATCACCACAACCGATCATGCGGTGCATGAGGCCAGTGAATTGCTGAACGGCAACCGTACCTCGACCCCTCGACCATATCGCCTTCCACGGCGGCACCATGGCTTGCCTTCATGGTCGTGTGGCTGTCCTTCACAGGACTTTACCTGAAGGATGCGGCCATCGATCGTTGGTTCGTTCGCTCCTCTTCCTCCTCCTTCTCCTCCTTCTCCTCCTCTTTCTCCTCCTCCTCCTCCTCCTCCTCCTCCTCCTCCTCCTCTTCCTCCTCCCCTCCATGAAACGCTTCTCGCTCCTATCCTTTTGAAACTACGGACGGAGTCGGCGCCGCGGTGGACAACAACATGCATCGGGAGTGCGCACATACACATGAAGATCGACAACGTGGCGACGACCCTTCTCAGGAAAGGGAGGGGAGAGGCCCAGCCTGCTCAAACTCCCGCCCGGCCGTGGCCAAATCTCACCCGCCGCCGACTCTCGAAGTATGGGTCGATTTGGGAGAAAACAGGGCGGAGAGCAGAATTGGAGGCATGCGGGTGCTGATAGCTATCGGCTGCCGTCGCACGCCCTGATGGAAGACCTGGCGCGGCGGCCTGGGCGATCAGCCTGCGTAGCTCTGGCTGCGGCTGTTCTTTATTCGCCTTCCCCATTGAAGCCCACAAGGGCTTGGTGCCCAAAAGGATGCGTGCACCTTCCCACGCACGGCATTATCGCCAGGGTCTGGCCAATGAGGGGGAGGTGAAGGATGAAAAACGAGGTGGGCTTGACACGCTGGGTCCCTAAGGAGCACTGGCACTGACCAAACGAATAGAACTGGGCTCCTGGGAAGCTCCAGACGTGCCGAACTTTCGGAATGATCCAACTGCTTGCAGGATGGGGCTCTGGCGGGCATTCCGGATGCTCCATCAAAAACTTGCCCCCTATTGCACTGCATGCCGTTGAGCACTGTGTTGTGGATCTGGGTAACGCATTTGCTAGGTCCACTGATCCCATCCAGCACTACTCCCAGATGCCATGCCCCATGGGTACCTGGGGTAACGCACGATTCTCGGATACAGACGTCGCAGAATAGGCGGTCTTTCTCGAGCTCTATTGAGTGTCTCGCCCGGGGGCCCTGCGAAGACGGCCCGCACTTTGCCACGCCAGACAAGCGAGGCCAAACTGACAACTGTACTTCGAGGAGGAGGTATCTCCTGTGATGGCATGGTTCGCCACACCGATGCCGAGGACAATTATCGAGAGCCCCCACTGCGTTGCAATCGTATCGAGATTCTCCTGGGCGTCAGGGCCTGCGTCGTCCTGACAAGTATGAAGTGACGTAAACCACTTGACCTTGAAGTGGCGAGGCTGACAACGGCACGGCTTGCGTGAAAGTCGTCTTTGGAACATTTTCTGTCGGCCTTCCTTTTGAGGATGGAATTTATCGCTGCCGTCCGTGATTTTTGACAACGTAGGGCCAGTGATTCGAAACGACCTTCGTTCCGCCTGCTCTGCGTAGAACTATCTGGAAACAAATTCAGAAGCTATCGAATGGCCTTCGGCCCGTCCCGCCACCGTGCCAGAGTTGTGGGTCAGAGTGTTCAGGGATGCTTCCTAGGATCTTTTCGGAGCGCCGTCGAGGGCCTCTTTGTGGGCAGTTTTGGGGCCTCTTGGGGCCTCTTGGGGGCCTCTTGGGGGCCTTTCGGGGCCTCTTGGGAGCCTTGAGGGCCTCTCGTGGGCCTCTTGGGGGCCTCTTGGGGCCTCCTGGAGGTCCCTCGTGGCCGAGGGTTCGAGATGTCCGTGCGGGCTCCCCATCTGGGACCCCTCTTGGAGCTGTCTGTGGGCTCTCCTGGGCCGTCTTAGGCACCTCTTGGGTCGACGTGGGGCCTCTTAGGGGCCTGCGGGGCCTCTTTGGGGCGACCTTGGGGGCCGCCTGGGCAGTCTGGGAGCTTCGGGAAGCCGAGATCGCGAGAAGGCCACAATCCTTTTCAAAAACCCTAAGAAAAATCAGAGATCTTTGCCTTTAGGGGCCCTCTCGGAAAGCCTCTTGGAGGTCTCTGGGGGCGCTTTGGAGGCCTCTTGGGGCAGCTGGAGGCCATCTTTGGAGTCTTGGGGCGATCTTTCGGCGACCTGGGGCCCTCGTCGGCTGTCTCGTAGGCACCTTGGGGTTATCTTGGCCCTTCTGGGGGGGCCCTTTGGGCTCCGAAAAAAGTCACGCGGGGAGCCGCGCCACCCGGGTAAATTCGGCGATTGGGCAAAGGACGTGAGGACGCGTCCACTCTGTGCTCAGCGGCACGGTGGCGGATCTCGACGTTCTCACGTGCATGGCAACTTGTGGTGGATCCAGCGAACGCCGCCTCCCTCCCTATCCTCCCTCCCCCCGCTCCACGTCGTTTCCTGATCGAGGCGAGTTTATTGTCATCGTGGGCGACGTGCTCGAGCGGTGGACGAACGGCGCACTCCGCGCGACGCCCCACCGTGTGGTGCAGGCCTCCTGGCGGCCTCGCGGGTGTCCTGCGCCTGCTCACCGCCGCGCCTGCCTTCTAGGAGGAGGAGGAGGCGATGTCGAGGACGAGGGGGAGGAGGGAAGCGAGAGCCTCTGGGAGGTTTTGGGAGGTGCCCGGTGTCCGGAGGCTTTGCGGACGAGGAGAGGGGAGGAGGAAGGTAGAGGAGGACGATGGAGGAGGCGAAGGAGCAGGAGGAGGAGGAGGACAGGGAGGACGACGAGGATGAGGAGAATGGAGATGGCGAAGGGGAGGGAGGGGTAGGGGGAGGGGGAAGGATTGGGACGGGGAAGTGGAGGGGAAGAAACGAGGGTGGAGGGGCAGGAATGATGAGGAGGAGGAGGAGGAGGAGGAAGAGCAGGGGACGATGCGGAGGATGAGAAGAGAAGCGCAGGAGGAGCTAGGGGAGATTTTCTCGTAAGATATCCACGTTTGGTTTGGAGGTGCTCAGTTGTTTTAGGAGGGTCACAGAGATCCTTGGGTGGTGTTCGGAGTTGCGCGGAGGGGGGATGAAGAAGTGAGAGGGGGAGGAGGCGGGAGGATGGCTTAGGGTTTTGATGGGATTCGAGTGTTCAAGCCGGTCAACGGGTGTATACGAGAGTCCCACGCGGGGGGAGGATGGTGTTGCGGGCAAAGATGATGTTGCGGGCAAAGATGATCCTTCCTCCTCCCTCCCCCATGCCTCCTCAGCCGCCGCCTTCCCGGCTCTTCCCTCTGGGTCTCCCCCTCTGCCCCCATGTGTTTCTGGCTTGGGTCAAGGGTGATCGCCGCACGCATTGTTGGAACAATTGTCTCGCATTGTGCGTTTCATACACGTGCTGATGTATAGGCTGGCGACGAGCCTTCATCCCGATCCGATCCGACCCTGTATCCTTTCTTCCACCCTCGTCACTCCCTCGCCGCGTTCTTACGCCCCCCTCCCTTTCAGCGACAATGCTTCAGTCGTCGTTTATTTAAATTGAAAAAGGATATCTCTTTCTTTCTCCTCTCTGACCATTTTTTGTTGTTCTCTCTCTCTCTCTTTCGCGGATTCCGTCGGCACTTCTGATCCGTCTTTGCTTGGCCCGTTCGTTGTCGTCGTCGGCGTGTCAGTAACGCTCCAGAAGGTTGCCGAGACACACGAGCACCTTTGCCCCCCGTTTGGCGAGGTGCAACACGATCGTACTAGGAGAATGAGCGAACTGAGCTGCGCTCGAGTGTGTGCCCGACGCGCTCCAGCCACAGCCGTGAAATCTCGGGAACCGCATATGGGCTCTTCGTCTTCCAGTGTGTTCTTATCCTCCTCCATCATTCGCCTCCTCGTTCCTTGTCCTTCTCCTCCATGGTCCCTCCCCTCCCTTTGAACCTTCACGGGTGGTGGACGGGGCGCCACGCGTGCACATCGGCGCCCCATCCAGCCAGTGCGTTGTCCACGCAGTGGTTATGACAGGCGTCTTCGGATGTTCCATCTTTCGAGATTGTTTGCCCAGGCGCAAGATTCCTAAGAGGCTTTGTATCAGCGCCCGAGCCCTTGTCGGGGAGCCCAGCTCTGGAGGAGAGTGTTCCTAAACCGAGTCTTGAGCGGAGCGGTTAGGCCACTCTAGTCGACACGGGGTGTCTCGTGCAGTGTCCGTCCGTGCCGCGCGCTCTTCTTGTCTTTGACAACGCAAATTCTGCAGGACCTTGCCCGTATTTCGGACCAGGGGCGATCGGAGGAGGGGGCGGCCCAAACGCGCGCGCTGCGCGCCGGAGACGCTGCACCCCCGCAGCTCGATCATCCGCTTCCTGGCCGTGCACCCGGACGGGTCTTTTTTGTGTCATGCTCTCGCTTGCAAGACCCTCGTTCGGACAACCCCATTGGCCTCGGCAGGCCCTCGAGGCCCTCAGGGTGGTTAGCCCGTGGCGGTCTCTGTCATCGTCGTCATTTTCAGCTCTCCGAGCACGCACCCAAACAGGCAAGCCGTTTGAGACATCCCCACAGTCTAGGCGCGAACTGGCCCGTGCAATACACCCTGGCGGCTCCCCCTTGGACTGCTGAAGCCAGCGCCTATGATTTTCTCGCAATCTGCTTGGAAGTCACCAAATAGTGAGCATCCAAACAGGCAAACCGCCTGAGACATCTCCACAATCTGGGCGCGAACGGGCCCGTGCCATACCCTCTGGCGGCTCCCCCTTGGGGTACGCAAACCTGCGCATCGCCTGAGACATTTTCACAATCTGCTCTGAAAGCAAAGCGCTCAAACAAGCAAACCGCCCAAGACATGCCGACAATCTGGGCGCGAACGGGCCGTGCAATGCACCCTGGCGACTCCCCCTCGGGGTGCTGAAGCCAGCGCCTCCTGTCTGTGTGCGAGATTGATTCTGAGTGTGAGTGAGTTTGAGCATGAGTGAGTCTGAGTGCGAGTGAGTCTGAGCATGAGTCAGTTGGAGTATGAGTGAGTCTGACTCTGGGTGAGTTTGAGTGTGAACGAGTCTGAATGCGAGTGAGTCTGCTTATGATGAGGGAGTGTGCGTGCTAGAGTGAGTGTGAGGGAGAGGAGAAGGAGGCAGGTTTGGGAGGAGTCAGCGCGGTCTGAGCAATAACAGGAACCTAGGATGTGGGGAACAGTGCAAGTGCTCGCTGCCCCCCTGGACATGACCCAAGGTTTTACCGCAAACTGCATGTCGCAGTGTTCTTGTCAGGGGGGGGCATTGGTCCCAGTTTGTCGCCGGTTGGGTGGGTGAGGGGGTGTGTAATCAGGAGCAGTGATCAAGCGACCCGAAGTCGCAGGCCATGTCACTCACACCCACCAGCACTCTCAACTCATTTGGAGCATCCGAACTTGGGTCCCCGATCCCACTGAGTTCATGAGTCCCGTCGGAAGCAGACAGCAGACAATCTGAGGGCACCCTGCCGTCTCTGTCAAACACCAATGCAAAGTGATCGCGGGGCGCTCGCGCATGGTCCAGATTTTGCCGCAAAGTGCACTTTCTATGGCTTTTGTCAGGGATCATAAGCCTGCACGGAACATTCAAGATGAGGGTCCCCCCCTCGCCGCCCCTTCCTATCAAACACCAATGCAAGATGATCGCGGGGCGCCCGCGCATGATCCAGCTTTTGCCACAGTATAGTGTGCATTGCATGTTAACAGGGATGGTGGGGGTGCGCGGACATTTTGAGTGCATCGCCGCCGTCCTTGTCAAAGACCAGCGCAAAGTGATCGCTGTGTGCCAGCGCCCGGTCCAGATTTTGCCGCAATGTGTATGTTGCATGGTGCTTTGACAGGGATGGCAGGGTTGGGAACTTTGAGATAGCGCGTCGCTCCGCCGGTTCTGGCCTACCACGCTTCGGCGCGGCACGTTACCCGCTTCCACTTCCAGAGCGTCCGCATCCCGAGCCTTTCCCAGCCTCCCCTCCCGCGCATCGGAGTGACGCGCTGTCCGCTTGCAGGGCACAGCCTGTCGTCGGATCCGCCGCCGCGATTTTAGTTTTCCGTCAGCGGCGAGGCGGCGAGCTCCGCTCCAGCGAGAAGCTAAATGGGCACTAACTAGCGAATCGGCCGACGGGCAAAGAGGGGGGGCGGACGGCCGAGAGGAAGACGGGACGCTCAGACGTCGAAGAGCCGCCGCCGCGACAAGCTAAGCAATAATTCCTGACCGTAGGCCCGAACAAAGCGGACAATATGAGGGCACCCGTGCCGTGCATTGCAAAAACCAGTGCCAAGTGCTTGCGGGGCGCCCGCGCACGGTCCAGATTTTGCTGCAACTCGCATGTCGCATCGTTTTTTGGCAGGGATGGGGGGGGCACACCGTCCCGGGTTTTTCGCCAGCCGGGTGGGGGAGGGGGATCGATTGATGAGGTGCAGTGGTAAGCCGTTCCCCAAGGGGAGGACGGGGAAGAAAGATGGAAGAGGAAGTTTTTGAAGCCACCTCCGCCCAGAGGGCTGGTGGGGTTGATCGTGGCCGGCCGCTGAGGGTGGGGAAAAACGTCTTCCTCGGCACAAGCTTTCGCGGCGTTGGCTCCCTGGGGCGCTCCACCTCTCCCCCGGGTGGCTCTAAGGAACCGTGCCCGTTGACGGCTCTGGGCCCCGAGACGGGTCTCCAGCGGCCCAGGCTGAGAAGCAGCCAGCCGTGGCGATCTTCCACGGCGACGGGTGCCTTGGTCCCTCCTCCCAACTTCCCCGGTGGCGCGCGCCGGGGGGTGGCTTGAGGCTTGTTGACGGCGGGGGGAGGGGGGCTTCCTCGGCCTCGCGCAGAGGGGGGTTTGGGGGAGGGGCGGAAGGTTTCTCAGAAGCAGCCTCCTTCCAAGAAGCCCTCCCCGCGCGCCGCCAGCTTCCTGAGAGGGCGGGAGGCCTCCAAGAGAAGCTCCCGAGAAGCCCCTGCCATCCCCGAGGCCCGGCGCGGCGCCCTCTCTGGCCGCCCCCTCTCGGCCTCGCTCCCGCAGAGGCCGCCCACCGAGCGTCGCCCCGCAGAGGCTGCGCCGCCGACCCCCCTGGCCCAGGGCGGGCGACGCCGTGCGAGGCCTCTTCCAACCCCGATGGGAACCCAGCCGTGGCCGCGGTGGTGCCCCCGAGGGGCCCAGGGAGTGCCCCGAGGCTCTAGGCCTCCCAGATGGGGTCGGAGCAGACGGGGCCGGAGGATCGCGCCGCATCGCCGATGCATCCTCGATGTGGCTCGGTGTTGAGCCCGATTGGCGTCACGTCGACGTCGCCGATGCATCGCCGATGTCGACGTTGCATCGCCAGTGCGTCGCCGATACATCGCCAACACATCGCCGATGTATCGGCGATGCGGCGCGATCCTCCGATCCCATCTACTCCGACCCCGTCAAGGAGGCCTCTGGAGACGCAGCAAGATCGATTTGATCCTACAGCACTCGCGCATTTCGTGGCGCCTCGATGGCAGCAGGTCCAGGAGGTTGCCGGTACGACTGGTGTGCGCAGGTCGCGCGGCTCTCGTTGTTCGTCTCGGGGGAGCACTTCGGTCCTGGCCAGGTTTGGCTGACTCAGCCGTGACTCAGAGGATGCGCCGTATTGGTTGTCAGGCTGAAGAAAGCAGTGGACTCATGGTGTTCCAACCTACTTTAGCCTTGATCGCCAGCACGAATTTCGAGCACCAAGGAAGTACCGAAACGGGAGGGTTTTCACGCGTCGGGCCCCGGGAGGCGATGCTCTTTCGACACTGTTTCGATATTTGTCTGGGTGCTTGTTATTCCTGGGATGTGGTCCTTAGGTGTGGTGGGAACAACATAACACTGGAAAGCCATCGACCCCCGAGCTGGAGAGTTTCTCCCAAGGGCTTAGGCAACCCATTCTCCTCCTCCCCCTCCTCCTTCTCCTCCTCCTCCTCCTCCTCCTCCACCTCCTCCTCCTCCTTCTCTCCTCTTTCCTCCTCCTCTTCTCCTCCTCCTCCTTCTCCTCCTCCTTTATCCTCCTCCTCCATCTCCTCCTCCTCCATCTCCTCCTCCTCCTCCTCCTCCTCCACCTTCTCCTGCTCCCCCTCCCCCTCCTCCTCCTCCTCCTCCTCCTCCTCCTCCTCCTCCTCCTCCTCCTCCTCCTCCTCCTCCTCGGGTCGCCTACGGCCCCAGGGGAAACCGTGCACCCCCAGCCTCGAACGCCGTGCCCCTCCCAGCAGGAGACGCTGATCGAGCCCCTCCCCCTCTTCGTCAGCGAGGCCTGCCCACGCAGGCGAGCCGGCGCGCGTGCGCGCCCCCCCTGCGGCGATTTGCTGGCAGCCATGCTGCCAGAACTGCCCCGCCCCTGACGGAGGAGGAGGGGGAGGAGGAGGAGAAGTAGGAGGAGGAGGAGAAGGGGGTGGAGGAGGAGAGGAGGAGGAGGAGGAGGAGGAGGAGGGGGAGGGGGAGGAGGAGGAGGAGGAGGAGGAGGAGGAGGAGGAGGAGGAGGAGGAGGAGGAGGAGGAGGAGGAGCAGGAGGAGCAGGAGGAAGAGGGGGATCATGTCTCTCTCTCTCTCTGACTCTCCTGTCTTCTGAGCTCGGCGCTCTCCGCGCCCTCATTGCTCTGCATGTTTTGCGCCAGAAACTCTCAGAGTTTAGCGATTGTGGGGTGACGACGGAACTCTCACGCTCACCCCCCTTTCGCTTGGTCCGTCCTTTCCGCATGCGTTCTGGGGAAGGATTAACACCGAGCACAGTCGCATTCCGTCCTTCGCGACTTGCTCAATAGTAGTGGTACAGGCACGTGCCTGATTAAGACAGAGGCGTTCGGATACCACTCCCAGTATCGGTATGGCAAGCGCTTGCGCGTAATGGGTTCTGCAACGGGTCTAAGTTTGGGTTCACGCGCTGGCATTCCCCAGAGTTGGATTGCCAAGAAAGGGAAGGATGGCAATGACTGCTTGTCCCCAGTCCCTATGGGATGAGCGCTCTTAGAGTTATCAGGTCGTGCCATCCTTCGTTCCCCTCCTCCGCTACCTTCGCGTTTGTCCCGCAGCCTTTGGCTTAGTGCCCAGAGCTGCTCGCTTTCGTTACGCTATGTAAAAGGCTATCCCCTATCTCCAGCTCTCCTCCCTGCCCGACGCCGTCCGACGAGAATGACAGTGGTAAGCGGAGCGTGGTTGAGGGACAGCCGGGACCGGCTGCTAAGTACGCAGTGATGGGGCGTAGAGTGACTATGGGCACGCAGACCGACGAGACAGAAGAGCCACAGCCAGAGGACGAGGGACCGCCAGAAATTTAGCATGAGGAGCCACCAAAGGTCGAGGACCGACACCCCCAGAAGGCCATGGTCGATGATCAGGGATGGTGGTGGCAATGTTGGAACTCTCGGTGGACTCCTCAGTCAGAGCCAGCTCCATTTGTGAGGAAGGACGCGTGGTGGACCTCCCTACCAAAGCTAGCTCAAGCGATAACCCCGAGCCATGTCGATTGTCGAGGAACGACAGACATTGGAGTTGGAACGATGTGCAGTGGCAGTCTCAAGAACAGGCTCAGATGAGCCCCGCGGTCCAGAACGACGGTTGGCATCATGATTACGATTGCTATTCAGGAGTGTGGTCGACGAGTCACGCCTTAGTCGGGACCCCACCCGATCGAGACTTTGGCGCACCACCGTTGTGGCTGGGATTTGAGAAATTAGCCTCCTACATTGTTGATCTCAGTGCTTGGGCATATCCCACCGCATAACCCCCGCCGCCCAGAGAGCTGGGAAGGTGTTGGAAGCTCCACCCGTGGCGATACAGCATCGATTCGTGAGCACCAGGGCCATTCTTGATCAAGGCGACGGCATCACTAGAATCGCAGACCATCGCTTTCTTTATTATATATATATATATATATGAGTGGGCCGGGGGGCCAAAATCGGTGCCGTCATCCCCCATGGGGGCCCCCCCGAACCTTTGGGGGGTCACAGACCCCCCGGGACTGCCCCGGGCCGCTTCCAAATTGCCCACGACAGGCCACGCGGGCCGTACAGATGGTCACGAAAGCTTGAAGATGCCCCGAAGACGCCCAAGAGCACCCCAAGAGGGCCCGTGAGGGCCCCAAGAGGGCCTTCAAGAGGCACAAATCGGCCCATTGCCTTTCTGTAAAACGTGCATTTTCGGTATACTCGCTGGCTTCGTCTTCACAGTGCCCCAGACGCCCCCGCGGCGCCCCAACACAGCCCAATAGAGACCCAAGAGGGCCCCAGACGGCCCAAAAGGGTCGGCCTGTGGGGCTCACGGAACCCCCCAAGACGGCCCAAGAGGCCCCGAAGCCGGCCCAGGAGGCCCCAAGACGGCCCCAGGGAGGCCCAAGAGGGCCCCGTTCGAAATCATGTTCCCGGAAGCCTCTCCGGGAACATTACTTCCTGGCTCCCAGGGCCCCCCACTGAGCCACAGGACAGCCTCAGCGAGGCCCCAGGGCCCGAGATGGCTTGAAGATGGCCGAAGAGGGCCCCAAGAGGGCCTTCAAGAGGCACAAATCGGCCCATTTCCTTTTTGTAAAACGTGCATTTTCAGCATACTCGCTGGCTTCGTCTTCACAGTGCCCCAGACGCGCCCGCGGAGCCCCAAGAAAACCCAAGAGAGATCCAAGAGGGCCCCAGACGGCCCAAAAGGGTCGGCCTGTGGGGCCCACGGAACCCCCCAAGACGGCCCAAGAGGCCCCGAAGCCGGCCCAGGAGGCCCCCAAGACGGCCCCAGGGAGGCCCAAGAGGGCCCCGTTCGAAATCATGTTCCCGGAAGCCTCTCCGGGAACATTACTGCCTGGCTCCCAGGGCCCCTTCGACCCCTAGAAGGCCCCAGGACAGCCTCAGCGAGGCCTAAGAGGGCCCGAGATGGCTTGAAGATGGCCGAAGAGGGCCCCAAGAGGGCCTTCAAGAGGCAAAAATCAGCCCGTCCCCGTAATAAAACGTACACATTCAGCATGCTCCCTTGCTTCGTCTTCGCAGTGCCCCAGACGCCCCCGAGGAGCCCCAAGACAGCCCAAGAGAAACCCAAGAGGGCCCAAGACGGCCCAAAAGGGTCGTCGTGTGGGGCTCACGGACCCCCCCGAGACGGCCCAAGAGGCTCCGAAGCCGGCCCAGGAGGCCGCCCAGACGGCCTCAGGGAGGCCCAAGAGGGCCTCGTTCGAAATCATGTTCCCGGAAGCCTCTCCGGGAACATGATTCCTGGGTTCCCAGGATGCCCAAAGACAGCCCCCAGCCCAGAGGCCCCGGATACGCCGAAGATGGCCTCAGGACGGCTGACGACGCCGCCAAAACGCCCCAGGAGCGCCTCCAGAGGCCCCTCCAAAGTGCCCCAGAAGCCAAAAATTATCCCAGTGCGACCCTACCTAGGAGTTGGAACCCCTAGGAAAGCAGCATTAGTAGTAACAGTAAAGCTAAGCTAAAGCTAAGCTAAAGCTAAGCTAAAGCTAAGCTGAGGCTAAGCTAAAGCTAAGCTAAAGCTAAGCTAAGGCTAAGCTAACACTAAGCTAAAGCTAAGCTGAAGCTAAGCTGGGGCTAAGCTAAAGCTAAGATAAAGCTAAGCTAAAGCTAAGCTACATCTAAAGCTAAAGATAAGCTAAATCTAAACTAAAGCTAAGCGAAAGCTAAGCTGAAGCTAAGCGAAAGCTAAGCTAAAGCTAAGCTAAGGCTAAGCTGGAGCTAGGCTAAAGCTAAGCTAAAGCTAAGCTGAAGCTAAGCTAAAGCTGAGCTAAAGCTAAGGTAAAGCTACGCTAAAGCTAAGCTAAAGCTAAGCTAAAGCTAAGCTAAAGCTAAGCCACAACTAAGCGAAAGCTAAGCGAAAGCTAAGCTAAAGCTAAGCTAACACTAAGCTGAAGCTAAGCTAAAGCTAAGCTAACGCTAAGCTAAAGCTAAGCTAACACTAAGCTGAAGCTAAGCTAACGCTAAGCTAAAGCTAAGCTGAAGCTAAGCCAACGCTAAGCTAAATCTAAGCTAAGGCTAAGCTAACACTAAGCTAAAGCTAAGCTAACGCTAAGCTGAAGCTAGGCTAAAGCTAAGCTAAAGCTAAGCTGAAGCTAAGCTAAAGCTAAGCTGAAGCTAAGCTAAAGCTAAGCTAACACTAAGCTAAAGCTCAGCTAAAGCTAAACTAAATCTAAGCTAAAGCTAAGCTAAAGCTAAAGCTAAAGCTAAGCTAAAGCTAAAGCTAAAGCTAAAGCTAAGCTAAAGCTAAAGCTAAGGCTAAAGCTCCCAGGGAACTGGGGGAACCGCGGGGCGGGGACTGGGGGAACCGCCCGGGGCGGTTAGCATTGCCCGGCCCTTTAAACAAAGAGAGTAAGAACCCTTCTAGGCAGAGCCTAGGTAGGGAATCATTAATTTTCCTATGGTTTTTGAAGCATTATTGCGCTCTCCCATGTTCCGCCTCCCCACGGTCCCGGACCGCGTCAGAGGCCCTTCAGATCGGTCCAAGACGGCCGAAGAGGCCCCCAAGAAAGCCCAGAGACGGCCCAGGAGGCTCCCCAGACAAGTCAAGAGGGCCTCGAGAGCGCCCCGAGAGAGCCCCAAGAGCGACCCAAGAGGGCCCGAACAGCGCGACATTTCGAGGTCTCTGGCCTGAGAGGCTCTTAGGACGCCCCCGGAGGCCATCAAGAGGCTCCCAAGGAGCTTTTTACTCCCCCAAGCCCCCAGCGGTAACCCGCAACGAGGCCCGTCCGCCGCGCACGGCGGCACACCAACAGGCCTGGCTGGCCTGCTCAGCTGGAGCCCCTCTCCAGCATCATCTCGTTCACCATGCTTGCATAGTGAAACAGCCCAGCTGCACCATCACGTTCAGTGTGCTACCCACGCAGCACTGGTAGAACGAGCCCCTGGTCTAGCGGCTTCCCCGTTTGCGGGTGTTTTCCCGCCAGGATCTTGTCCCTCTTCTTACGTTTTGCGTCGTCCTTGCTCGATCTTCATCGGCGCTGCAAGGGCCCTGGGCATGCTACCCCCAGCCCTGCACGCCTCCTCGCCGAGTGCGCTCCGCACACCACGCACACCACGTACGGCCCTTGGACCTCAACACTGTGTGCACGTCCTCTTGCCTCTCCCTGAGCGTCGTCCTCGAGCACGGAGCGTCCACCAGCACCACCAGCGGCGAACGTGGCGGCCGCAGCGGCCATGGCCACGCTGGCCTCCAGTGAGCTCCCCGCTCCTGAGCTGCTTGCCCCTGTCGTTGTCCATCTCGACTCCGCCTGCCACAGCTTTTTGCGCATCCGTCGCGAGGCTGCTCTAAGCCCGCATCTCATGCATACCTGCCAGCCGTCCTTCTCCACGACCTCATGCTGGGTGAGCAAAATCAGCGGCTTCGCAACACGCCGTCGTGGTACTCCTTTCTCGCGCTTCGGTACGTCTGGCCACTCCCCCGCCATCTTCTGATACCACCGTCCCACGTTCTGAAGCGCCCACCGTACACGTACGGCAAGGTCCTCCAGCGCCTGGTGCTTACCGAAGTTGGCGTCCATCTTCGCCCTTGCCTTTGCCAGCAGGTCCACCTCTCGATTGCCCTTCGCAATCTTCAGGTCGTCGCCTTCCAACTGCTCGATCTTGATCTTGGACATGTGCGCCTTCACGTGCTTCACGCACCCGACGTCCAAGTCCAGGTCCTGTACCTTGTTCCAGATCCGCTTCCAGATGTCAGCATGCGGCCTCTTCCAGCTCGTACACCACCGCTCGCCCTTCTGCAAGCCCTCAAGGATGCCCTTGTGGTCCGTGTAGATGCGTCCTGGCGGCATCATTCGCTCCAGCACCTTCAGGAAAGCCCACATCTCCGCACGCTTGACTCTCCTGTGGATTGGCAGCGTACACGGTAGCGGTCCCCACAGCTGCATCTTCGCGTTGCCCTCGTCCGTGAGTGACATAGCTGCCCATCCAGTCTGAGCCCACTCGCTGTAGCCCAGCGTTGATCCGTCGCACACGATGCCGCCCGTGAAGTAGTCCTCATCGCCCTGTACCACCTGGCCGCAGTACTGGTCCTCTCCGATGCCCACGAAAATCCAGTCCGCTTCTGGCGTGCGGGCCAGCCCACGCGTCCACCACATGTTCGTGTCCTGCTGCTCCGCCACGGTCTGCCACTCCGCCTGCGCCTGCACCCGCTGCTCCCTGAGCGCCTCGCACTTGTAGTACCTGTGGTGCTCCGTCCCTACTGCCCTGCCGCTCGCCAAACAGATGTCCGTCGGCACGATTTTGCACTGGCTTACGTAGCTTCCCCATCGTCCAAGCCCCGCCCAGAAACGTCTTCTTCGCCGCGTTCTTTGCGTGTTTTGGGAACTCCTTAGCACGCAGCTCAAGCTCTGGTACTCCTCGGCCTTGGCCCAATCCTCCAACAGCTTACTCTGCACGTCCTTGCGCAACATAGCTGCAACGTCCATGGGGCAAGCATCCATCATGTTCAGCTCGTAGGCTTGCTTGGTTACGAACGTGTGCCATGCTGGCCAGGTCCATCTCGCCCTCCTCATGGACATGATGACCGCTCCTGCTGGTCCTCGTAGTCGCGCCCAAGCCGGCTTCATGCCGACCTCCTGTTGCTGCCGCCGCCACGCCTGCTGCAGCATGTGCGCAATGCTGACCTCGTCGTCGCCTGCAACCTCCTGCGCTTGTGCTGTCAAACTCCTGACTCCTCGGCCTCCTTGTAATAGACGCCCTGCTTCTCGCCTTAGTTGCCTCAACTGGTGATCTGGCATTCCCAAGCACTTTCAGCCGTACAGCACCGACCTCTTCAGCCCGCACTTGAATACCAAACCAACGCCTCTCGCCATCTTGCGTCCACCTCCTTTAATGTTGAGCAACCGCCTGCTCCTGGCCTTCGCGTTTGCCACTCTTGGTCTTCGCCGCCGTGCCATGCGCTACGATGTCGACGCCAAGGTATGGACACGCCCTCACAACTGGAATGCCCCTGTCCTGCATGTCCTTTGCCACCGCCTTGCGCGCCCACTTCGTGCTCGCCATAACCGCTCCTTTGCCTGCGCTGCCCACCGAGAACTTCAGCCCCTACTGCTCGAAGCCCGCGTAGCACGCGTCGATCGTCTCGCTGAACTCGTTCACTATGGACTTGGGCTGCTGTCTCACCCTCACGCACAGGTCATCTACGTACATGCGCCATCTCGCACGCGGACTCTCCACAACGAGGCCGTCCATCGTAGATTGAATGACCATCTTCAGAAAGCGCACCGGGAACTTGCTACCTGCTATGATGGCGCCCACCGTTCTCACGGCCTCGGAGGACTTTCAGATCGTTCCAAGAAGGCCCACGAGGCCCCGACGAGGGCCCCAAGACGGCCCAGGATGCTCCCCAGACAACCCAAGTGTGCCCCAAGAGCGCGCCAAGAGAAGGCCCAGAGGGGTCCCGAGGCGGCCCGGGCCCGCCCTGAAGCAGGCCACGACAGGCTAATGGAGGTCCCGGGAGGGCCCTAGACGGTCCCAAGTGGCCCCGAAGACGCCCAAGCTGCACTCAAGACGGCCGACGAGGACTGGAACACGCTCCAGGACGGACTCAAGAGGCTCCCCAAGAGGGCCTTGGGAGGCAAGATTCACTAATTTTCCGATGGTTTTTGAAGGATTTAGGCGTTCTCGCTTTCCCCGCTTCCCAGCGCTCCCTCACGGCCTCGCTCGGAGGCCCTTCAGATCGCTCCAAGACGGGCCAGGAGGCCCCGAAGAGGGCCCCAAGACGGCCCAGGAGGCTCCCCAGACAACCCAACTGTGGCCCGAGAGCTCCCCAAGAGAGGGCCCAGAGTGGGACCGCCAACCGATATTTCGAGGTCTCTGGCCCTCGAGGCCGCCTGTAGGCCCCCGGAGGCCACCAAGAGGCTCCCTCGAAGCCCCGTGAGGCGCCCAAGAGGCCCCCAGGAAGCCCCAAGAGACCCCCAAGGAGCTCCCAGGGAACGCCCAAGAGGCCCCCCAACACACCCCAGGAAATCATGTCCCCAGAAAACCTTCCACGGACATGGGTCATCATGGGCCCGAGAGTTCCCGGAGGCCCCCAAGGGGCCCCCAGGGAACGCCCAAGAGACCCCCCAACACACCCCAACAAATCATGTCCCCAGGAAGCCTTCCGGGGACATGGTTCATCATGGGCCCGCGAGTCTCCGGAGGCTTCGAAGTACCATCATGCTACAGGAGAGCTGTCTAGAAAGTTGATTGGGAGCATGACTGATCGCCTTCTCGCGGCCCTCCGCAGATCGTTTCGCACAAAGTTGCCCCAAGTGCCCTCTTGAATCGACGACGACGAAGCGACGAAACGACGACGACGACGACGACGATGACGACGACGACGGCGCGCCCCAATAGGCGACGACGACATTACGACGTCGACGACGATGACGACGACGACGACGACGACGGCACGCCCCAACAGGCTCCCCAAGACGCCCCAATCCCATGCTCCCAGAAGGCCTTCTGGGAACCCGATTCACACGGCCTCCGCCCCCTACACAACCATTTTCCTCGAAGGCCTTTCGGAATGCAGATTGGCATGCGTGGACTGTGGTCCACTACTTCAGTGGAGCAGCAGTGAATTCGTCAAGGCCTGGGGTCTGCTACAACCTGAGCGCGCGCGAAGCGCGCGCGATGGTTCTAGTGTATATATATATAGATAGTACGCGGTAAATGTCTTGGCGACAAAGAGCGCGAAGTTCACAATTACTCTGCTCTCTGCAGCTACCCCATGGACAGCAGAGGCCGAACGACGAGGGCTGACGCTTCCAGATCATATTCGATCACGCCGCCTAGGAGCCCAACTTTGTTTAGAACCGTTTCAATCTCAAGCCGTTGGCTCAGGAAGAACTGCGATTTCGCTTCCATGCGCCCTGCTCTCCTCCTCTTTGACATTCGAGATAAAACAAGGAATGCTGCCAAGTGCTGCCGCCTCTTTCCAAGGCACCGCTGGCGGCAAGTCTTACCCAGCCAAGAATGAAGTGAAGCCTCCACCAGCTTCGACTTACAAGAGGACGACGCCGAGGCTTTCCTGATTGCTTTGGGGGACCAGGACCTGGCAGAACATGAGTTGATGATCGCACTCGCCGCGGTGATAGAAGGCAAGCTGGGTCGGAAGAGGCGTAAGACGCGGGCCGAGGCTCGAATTATGCTAGCCAACGGACAAGTCGGCAGGGACGATTTCGACCCACGTTTGGCCAAATGGCACAGATGCAATCGTATTTCACGAATGGATCCGCGCTAACGATCTTGATGTACGAATTGTGGTGAGCGTGGACGCTGGGCGGAGTCGCAGCGTAAGCCGTTCAAGTCCAAAGCCGATACATTAGCATAATAAGCTTAGACACCTAAGGATCAAGGAGGCGCCAATACATGGCATTTCGAACACGACCTGGGCTCTGACGGCCTCAGGGATTATGCATCTCCGTGACGGTTGCCGTGTGGCCCGGCATCATCCAAGGCTGGAAGGACCCGGAGGCTTCTCTGAACTCGAGGAATTTGATGGACTGCGCTCTCGTGGACACTGCCGTGGGTCAAGCATTTCTCGGACGCGAGGGCCTGAACATTCTCATTCGCGCTTTTGAGAAACGAAGGTGTCGCATTCATTTCGAGATGGGCGAAATCAAATGCATGGCGGCCTCGGGCACTGGGGGAAAGGTGACTCCCGCGGAGCGCGTCTGGGTCCGAGGGTCTCTCGCAGGCTGCGGCTTTGAGGAGTTCTTCATCCCGGAGACGTGCCCCCGCTGCTGCTGGCGAAGCTCCCCGAGGAGATCGGCTCGAGGATGGACCTCCGGGAGAAAGCCCTCACCGTCAACGACGGCGGCAGCGGGGCGTGCTCGAGGACGACGCGATCCTTCCTTCGCCATCTTTCTCGCTATCGGCCCGTCTCGCTGATCCGGCGCGATGCCGAGGACTTCAAGGTCGACCCCGACGATGAGCCAGCTTTACAGGGAGCGCATGTCGATAGTCCGACCGGACGGGGCGGGTCTTGGCAGTGCCAGGGCCACCACGACTGGGGCAGGAGTCAGCATGGTAGTTAGGTCAGTCCCCTTCTCCTCCTCATCCTCCTCCTCCTCTTTCCCTTCTCCTGCCAGGGAAGGGGCCCCTCGGTTCAAGCTGACCCCCAGAAGCAAGTTCGGTTCCAGCGAGAGCCGGCCGATGCACATGTCCAAGGCCAGCCGTGCGAAGCAGCCCGTCAAGCAGAGGAGTCAGTCTGCCAGTCCTGCTCGCCGAGGCCCAGACTCCGAGATGCCGAACGTGCAGGAGGTCCCTGACATCGAGACAATGATGGAGGAAGGCGGACGGGGTGCCCTGGGGACCACGACCGATGCCCTGGACGAGATCCTGGCCATCGATGCTTCAGGCGAGGTAGTCACCGGTCAGCTAAACACTGACGCGCTGCGTTTCGACCAGAGGCCGGCGCGCTGCAGATCAATGGCGCTCTGGATCCACGGGTCCATGCGGACGCGCTCGGACATGGAGGCCCTCGCGGGACCGGTTCCGATCCTCCTCCAGGGGGGCGAGGGCATCGACCAGATCGAGTGTCTTCGAACTTCGTGGGTTCAGCGCTCGAGCTCCCACCCGACGTCTTTCTACACATCCTTGATGATTGCTGCAGGGAACAGTGTGGTCCGAGGAGCGAAGATTTTCTCCGCTGAGTTGTAGAAGTTGTGATCTGAGCAAGTTTTGTCCAGTGGGTCTGGATCCCGGTTGCTGCGCCGTCCTGCGGATCCGCGCCCGTGTGCAGACCCTCGACCCGATGTGCGTCGAGTGGATGTCGGTGGGCGATGCAGGGGAAGAGGCAGGACGCGAGGAGGATATGAGCAGGGACTTAGTGGGGCAGGGGTCTGGGACTTGGTCCAAACCCGCGAGGGTAAGACCGGCCTTCCCCAATTCAATCTCTATGGAATGGTCCCTCTCAGAGTTTTCGGGTCGTGACTGCCCTCGTTCCCCTCCTCCGCTCCCGGAGCCTTTGGGTTAGTGCCCTGGAGCCTTTGGGTTAGTGCCCTGAGGAGCTCGCTCTCGTTATGCCATGTAAAAAAGGCTACTCCCTACCTCCAGCCCTCCTCCCTGCCTTGCGCCGTCGAACGACGATGACATGCCAGCCCGCCCCTCCTCGTGCCCTGGCCACCCCCACCGTGCCCCCATCGTCCAACAATGACCACGACGACGGCGGTGGCGACGGCGGAGAGACGCCGCCTCCGCCGCCCTCGTGCCGCCCTCGCGCCGCCGCCGCCGGTCGGCGCAGGTACACGCCTGTGACCATGAGGAGGCACATGGAGACCACGCTGCAACAGCTGGAGCAGGGCGGCGGCGCCTGGGACTTGCCTGCGAGGGGGGGGGGGGGCTGCTGCCGCATGGGGCCCCCGTGGGGGCGGCGGGGGGGGGGGGGCGGCCTTCGGAGGCCGAGCGCACGGCCGGTTAGTGGAACGGGGCGGGGGGGGGCGTCCTCCAGAGTACACATCATTAAACCAGGTCCCACTAAGCCCAGTTCTGCCAACGCCCCCAAAGAGGGCTCGCCGCGTCGGGCGTCCTGCGGCCGCCAGGGCGCCTTCGGCCGCCGCTGGGCGCCTTCGGTGCCCGGGTTCGTCGTCGTCGTCGTCGTCGTCGTCGTCGTCGTCGTCGTCGTCGTTCGTTCGTTTTCATCGCTCGTCGTCGTTCGTTCGTTTTCATCTCTCGTCGTCGTTCGTCCGTTTTCATCGCTCGTCGTGCGCCGTTCGACGCTCGCGTTTTTACGTCGTCGGTCGTCGCCTTCGTCGTCGTCGTCGTACGCAGACCTCTACCGTCGCAGTTCCCTCAATCCCGTTTCCTGTCGTCGATCTCGGCCCCCAGGGGCGGTTTCTGGGCTCCGAGACAGTCAAGCGAAGGTCCAGAATGAAAGCCAGTCCTACTGGCTGGACATATTCTGACCTCAGAGGCTTGGGCCCGTCGCCACGAAAGAGCTGGGAAGGCACAGGACACTGCAGTTACGTGTTTTTTCGCCCTTCTGCTCCGTACTTCATTCATCATGAACCGACCCCTATCCCCATCCCGATGCCAAACATCCCACCACCCCAGTTGGGGATATGCCCCTCGCAACCCGGAGGGAACAGCCCATACCCCAATATAGGGGGGGGGGTAAATCAGCCAGTGGGGCCCAGGCCGTGCCAGTGAGGATAGGGATCGGTTAAACCTCGCTCAGTACCTCTCCCTCTTCCTGGCGACGTCGCAGGAGGTGCAAGCTCGCGCCTTTGGGTCGAGAGCTGGCGCTGGAAGCGTTCGCACCGTGACGGCACCCCGCGGGCGCGAGCGGTTTTCATTCCTTGCCCTCTGGGTCCAGCGTCGAGGGGCGCAGATCGCGCTGATTTCCTTCCCTGCTTCTGCCTCCGACCCTCCCTCCCTCCTTCCTGAACCTCGATGGCCCGAAGATGTGGCGCATCGGGCTTCCCGCAGCGCGACTCGCAAAAAGCAGCCGACCTGGGAAGGTAGCTCGAGCAGTGCCATTGAGATGGCTACTAATACAGGCCAGGCCGTCGCCGTCGTCTGCCGTTAAGGTAGTCGAGCGCTCGCGCCAGCAAGCGAGGAAACGTTCATGTTGCGGTATTGGCGGGCCTTCTCCTCCTCCTCTTCCTCCTCCTCTGCCTTTTAACCAGATGTTCCCTTTGCCTCCCAAGCTCAGCCGAACGCCTCCTAAGCGAATGCATCCGCGGGCAGGGCGACCGTGATTGCAGCGGTTTAATTAAGGATGTAGGAAGCTTCAGAGTGGATGCGCTGCTCCTTGCAATGGCGCTCCCAAAGTGTTGACCATCCCCGTGGACGTGGGAAGCCCCTGACCCCGTACCCCGTAGAATCACCAAACAACATGGCATCCGCCTGCGGCGGAGTGGGTCTGGCCCCCCGCCCCCCGCCCCCCCCCCCCCCCTACACGCTTGATAATGGTGGAACGTGATGCTGTTGAACTATCGCCTCATCCCCCCTCGCCCTTTACCTTGCCTGCCCGATGATCTGAAGCCCTATGTACATGGAGGTACGTTTACACCCTGGCGTATCGAGGTCTTCGTTGGCCAGCGCCCCACATGCCAATCGCTGGTCCCCTCCGACTGGCATTTAGCACCCTACCCAGCCGAACTGTCAGATCGGCCGCCCCTTGGACACAGGGGTTCCACGACGCACGAAACCTACGCGCCGACGGACCGACGGACCGACCTCCGCCGCCGCCGCCCCCCTCCCTCGACCGCCCCCTTGGCTTCGCGCACCACGTTGAAGTCGGAGGCGGTGTCATAGGCATGAGGCAGATCTGGGAAAGGCATGTTGGCCCAGTCGGCGATGCAGTAATTATACAACGGCAGTGTAAAGGCAGGGTCACGATATGTTGACAAAGGTACGGGAAGAACTTGCACAGACAGGGTCAAGGGTAACGGCACTGTAAAGGTATGGTAGAGGCGCGTTTTTTTCTGTGTCGCTGTTGTCGGATGGCGCGCGCTCTGACACTTGGGTTTGCCTCCCCCTCCCTGCCCCCTCGCCCCTCGGCCTCGAGCGCCATGCAGGACGTAGAGCGGAACGTGAGCCTGACGGCCACCAGGGAGTACACCTGAGGGCCGAGGGCACCGCGTGCGCCCTTGGGCGGCCCCGTCGCCGAGGGGGCGCGAGCGCGCGCGCACGCCCGCTCTCTGGTGCGGCGCGCGGACGCGAAGGACCGGGCTCGGCGGCGAGCGAGGGGGGACAGTGAGAAGGAGAAGGCGTTCTCAGAAGGCGGCGGGGCTCCTCAAGAAGCCCCCGCGCCTTCTGCCAGGTGTTCTGCATCTTCGGGGAAGCCGTAGGACATCTTCTCAGAAGGCCGGGGGGCTTCCGAGCCTTCTGGGAAGGCCCGCTCGTTCTCTCGCTTCCCCCCTGGGCGCGCCGCCGAAGGGTGGAGGGGGACTGGGAGGGGGGGGAGGAGGGTCACGTTGAAGGCCGAGGCGACCCACGGGGGCCCAGTGGGGCCAGATCGGATGGGGCCCGGGGATCGCGCCGCATCGCCGACGAGGCGCGAGCCTCCCGATCCCAGCTGCTCTGGCCCCAGTCGGGAGGCATCCGGAGGATCAGAGGCACTTTCTCGTGCACATGAGTTCTTGACACTTCGCGTATCGCCACTAGGACCAGCCATCCAGTTCCACCAGCCGCTGCTGCACCTCAGCCGCCGCTTCTGAGTGCTGGCCCGGCCGGCTTGCGTGTCGCTTAGTAGCTAATTCGGCTGGCCCGTGCCCCGGACCCCCTCTCGCCGCCTGCCCTCTGCTGCGCGGCCGCGACCCAAAAAAGTAGCGCCACTAGGTGGGGAGGAATAGTGAGTCGCAGACGGGGAAACTGAACAAGGAGAACCATAATATGACGACGGCGACGACGACGACAGGAGTAACTCTCAAGGTCTTCTCAAGGGCTATTCGGGAGACCTCGTGGTCCCCCTGGTTCTCTCTCGGGGCTCTCTTTGACACTCCTGGGGCCTCTTGGGGGCTGTGGAGGCCCTCGTGCGGCTATCCTGGAAACCATCAATCAAACAAAGCAACAGATTGGCATCAATTTGGGTCCCCCGTCGGGGCTCTAAACTGAACCTCTTGGGGCTCTCTTGGAACGTTCTGGGGGAGTTCCTGGGCGCTCTTTGGGCCGTCTTGGGCCCCTATTGGGCCCCTCTCTGGGCCGTTTTGAAACCGTCTTCTGGCTTTCAGAGCTCATCGGAAACGACACGGCGAGACGGCAAGCCACATTTCATAACCACTGAGTTTTGCTTGAGTTTGGCCTGTGGGGGGCCTCTGTGGGAGGCTCAAAAGGAACTTGGCGCCGCCTTGGAGCGGTCTTTGGGCCTCTTGGAGGCATGGTGGAAACTATACTTAACCATGCTGGGGTATATTGAGCGATCTTGCAGGCTACCTCGGGCTCTTTGGGGCCCATCTTGGAGCCATTTTGTACGGTTCGCCCCCTCGCCAAACGCCCCCTCCAGACCCAGGGGGAGGTGGTAGGGGCCAGACCCAGGGGCAGGGGGTATGGGGGAGGGGGACCCCCCTCCCTGAAGGGGAAGAAGGGAGTTAGCAGAACGAGCTCGTTAGACCACTCAAACCCAGAGGACTGTTGGGTCTTTCGGAGCTTCGCGTAGGTTTCTTGGATCGGCGCTGAGACCACCTGGCGGCGCCTTTGGCGGCGCCAATGGGGCGCACCGCGCGCCAGGGAGGAGGTCCATCGCCGATGCAAGAGATTCGCGCGGTGCTCCGACGGTTTATGTCTCTGCCTGTTTACTTGTTGTTCCAGGGGACGAGGATTTTGGCATCGCTGCGAAGTGTGCCTTGTTTTCCCGGCCAGGATCATCTAGGAGGATGTCGGATATTACGGCGAAGAAACGCACACGACATCGAGACTTGCACATGTAATGGACGTCCGAGCATGGCAAGAGAGGAAGAGGGGGAGGAGGAGGAGGAGGAGGTGGAGGAGGAGGAGGAAGAGGAAGGATGAGAAGGAGGAGGAGGAGGAGAAAAGAGAGGAGAAGGAAAAGGAGAAGGAGAAGGAGGAGGCGAATGCCGCTTCGAGGCTATATCCTCAGCTACCAGTAGCGCGTCGGAAGAAACAGAGAGAGAAAGAGAGAGAGAGAGAGAGAGAAGAAAAAGCAAGAGAGAGAGAGAGAGAACAACAAAAAAAAACGCTGGCTTTGACCTGAACGCAGCATGAGCCTCGAGCCCAGGCCCCGTCCCCTGTGCCTTATGCGAGGGTTTCTGTGTCTTTGGGGAAGCCTCGGCAAACTGCTCAGAAGGCCGGGGGGCTTTCGAGCCTTCTGGGAAGGCCCGCCCTTTCTCACTTCCCCCCGTGGTCTTGCGGTCTGCCGTGCTGCTGTGGTCTGCGATGCTGGTCTGCCGCGCCGCTGTGGTCTGCGGGTGCTGGCCGCACAGCCTGCATACCTCCAGAACTCCTCAAGGTAGCTCAGGTGAGGGCGAGTTGGGACGACGGCAGTTGGCCTTTGGTGGGCCCCGTCGTCGCCACGGCTGGACACAGCTCGGAAACGTGGTGCGATTGAGCACCGGGAGGGGTCCGGGGGTTCGATTCGGAGTTGCCGTTTTCTCAATTCGCTTTGCTCCAGGAGGAGGGCAAGGTGGCGCGGGGATTCAGAGTGGCGATGGTGTAGCTCGCTCTCCCGCAGTGCGCCTCGCTGAGAAGTGTAGCGTGTGGTGGTGCGCTGGACGTGGGCGGCGCACAGAGGCGCCCGACGGTGGGAGCGGAGCCGTTCTGTTCGAGGTGCCCCCACTACCCCCCAAGAGCGGGCAGGGGGCATTGCAAAGCATGGAGCAGTGTGAGGCTATGTGATCTGGGAGCCCAAGGTCGCCCAAGGTTCTGATGGAGCGGGGCGGTCATCTGTTCTCTCGAGTAGGCTGTTCTTCGACACAGTCGCATCTGAAATGTGCGGATGTCCCTTCCCTATTCCCCTTCGGATGCCGATGGGGACGCTCGAAGGCCTCGTGTAGCTTCTGTGCAATCACAATCATGCCGAGTGGCTCTGAACATTTTGCGCAAGCCTCCCTCGTTCCTTCCCTGCTCCCCGCCTTCCGCCCCTCTCCCTCCCTTTGCTGCCGCTGCTGCACCTAGCACCAAGCACCCCCCAGAACCATGGCACGGGTGAAACGTACTCCGCGCCCCTGCCTCCTCCCTCACCCCCCCACCCTCCCTTCACCCCTCTCCTCCTCCACATCACTCCCCCTCCCTCTCCCCCGTCCGCGGCCCTGGCAATCGTCCACCCTTGGGATGAGTGGCCACTGGTGCCCGACGTGTGAGACACAGTGGAGGCCCATGCCAAGAAACACTCTGCTTGCCTCCAAGGTGCCCTGGGTTTCTTAAGTTTCGATGGTTTTGCGATGGAAAGCGTGACGTTCCCACATCAAAAATGGATGGACGTCCTGGGGCTCCAGGGTTGGGTTTCTTGTGGAAAATTTCTTATGGTCGAGCCCTTGCTGTAAGGCTGAGTCGGCCGACAGCCGCACCGAGCCTGCGCTTGAACCTTCCAGTGGTCCAGCCGGCCTCGAAACGTCTTCGGGCCCAGGCTGGACCAGCGCAGTCTGAGGGGAGGCGGGGCGGCACAGGGGACGAGCGCGAGGCGAGCGCTGCGGCAGGTGCGGCCCTGCAGGGGACGGGAGGGAGAGGAAGGAGGGGCGGGGGGGCAGGTGCGGTTGTGGTGGTCGTGCTGGTGGTCGCGGTGGCGGCCATGGTAGGGCTCGTAGTGGTGGTGGTCGTGCGGGCCGTGGTCGGGCTGGTGGTGGACGTGCTCGTGGTGGCCGTGGTGCTGGTCGTGGTAGTCGTTGCGGTGGTCGCGGGCGGCTCCAGCAATGGTCGTGGTCGTCGTGGTGGTCGTGGTTGTGGTCGTTGGCGTTGTGGCGGCGGCCCCCAGCTGGTGTCGAACTCGCCGTCGCGGTGGTGGTAGGTGTAGCCGTGTGGTGTCAAGGTGTGAGAGGGCGTCGTGGTGGTCGTGATAGTGGTGATGGTCGTTGTGATTGTAGAAGCGGCCTGCTGGCGCCTACCTGCCCAAGGCACTGAGGATAACCTCCGCGTTCCTTTGCTTGAGGGTACGCAGGATGTCGGGCCAGATCTGGCTGAGATGCTCAGACTGTTCGGCGTCCTCCAGGCGGGCGCCATAGCATCGCACGAAGGTCACTGCTTCGCTGGACGGCCGCCCCTCAGTCTCGGAGCCCTCCCGAGAGGGGACTGGTCGCGTTTGTCGTCAACCATTTGGGCAGCCGCGATCTCGTTTTTCCCAACCATCCTGTGGTGTTGAGTCCTCGTTTTGAAGAGACAGCGCCCCGCGTCTCACTCCTCCTCCTCTCCTCCCTCCTCCTCCTCTCCCTCCTCCTTCCCCCTCCTCTCTCCTCCCGTCACCTTCAATTTGGCGCACCCCTCACATGTTTCGTGGCCCCTTACGGAGCTCCACCTAAGGTCCCAGTGGTGCAGTTCGCATGGCGGCGCCGCCCCATTTTGGCACACCCCTCACACGCTTCGTGGCCCCATAGGGAGCTCCACTTAAGGTCCCAGTGGTGCAGTTCGCATGGCGCCGCCGCCCCATTTTGGCAAGGGTCAGCAGGGCCAGGCTGCCGCGCCCTCGCCTCCCCCGCCGCCTGGGGGAGGCTTTCCCCCGCCCTGGTTGTGCACGCAGTGCCTGCAACCGGATACTATGGCGAAGAGATTGTGCAGGACGTGCTTCCCCTTGCCTCCAGACCATTGCGCGGTGCCTTGGAGGGAGGAAGCCGCCAGCAGACGACCGCGCAGGGCCAGATCTGCAGGGGGTTCGAGTCCGCGCGGTAATAGAATCAGTTAACCTGCACGTGACGGGAGCAGGTACACAGGAACCAGTTAAAAGATCGGCTAGTGTTCGCCGCAGGTCGTCGTCTAGGCGGAGGCGCGAGGTTACGTTCGTGGAGGCGGAGGGGTCGGCTCCAAAAGGTGAGCGCAGTGATGGAGCAGGCGGCGGCCCACAGGGAATTCTGGACATCCGGCCCGCGAATCCCGACGGTGCCAAGGCCCACTTTGCATGTTTACGTCCATCAGAGGGTGAGACGGGGCTCGCCGTCCACAGGAATCACTTGAGGAAGGC